AGTGTTAGTCTTACAAACACCACACTGTCCACTAACCAAGATAAAATGGCTTTTGTCCTTAATAACCACTTTCCTGTTAGTTAATGCAACAGTAAAAAATAAAATTAATATCACCGATTCAACCGCAGTTAGCCACTTTGTGTTGACATATGCATACATATCTCTTAAAATTTCAAACTGAACAAATGTCCGATAAGTAGTGGCGTAAGAACCGCACCATCATCGTCCTGGATCCCACACTTGCGTCATACGGTTAGCATATGTAATGAATAAAATGTGCTACTATCTCAGCAAAAGTAATGTCTCTGCATTCACTGTATAACCTGTTAGAGCCATATCCTTGGAGGTCATTTCATCCGAAGGAAATTCACTTATTGGAATACCACTTTCATTCTTTATAAAAAAAATTATCCAGATATAAATCCTCAATACTCTCAGGCTCCAAGAAAAATTCAGCAAGATACATGTCTTCAAAAAACTCAAAACCAATTTCTTGTTTACTAGAGCTACAATCCAGAGAAGTTGTTGTAACATACCTCTCTAACATATCTATTTGAGGATGCCTATAGAACAACTGGACTTTGCTGCCATCAGGACCTAGAATATCTTCATCGAGAATTTCAAAAGGAGCATCTAATGCCACAGTAAATACCTTGGGGTAGTTGTTATTTAACATTTCATCAAATATCTTGTGCTCATCAATTTTGGTCGGGTATTCTGATAGCTCATCATAGTTTTGAGGCAAGGGCGAATTGGTTACTTGTGCAAGGCATGTCGAATGTATATCTAACTCACTTAAATCCGATGAAACAGCCTTAAAACGACTTGGGTAGTTAGTCCCAGAGGGTACCTGCAAGAGATTGGCTAAGCGATCTTCTGGTGATTTGAGATGTAGTTTACGGAAGTGAATTAACACTTTTGCAGCAAAGTGTTTTCAATCTGCCAATTGCTTGTTTTGAAAAAGCCATCGGTACCAAGTTAAAGCCGCTCCGTCTAGATAGGACGAGGCAAGATATAACTTGTTGTTTTCTGCAATTTCATAGAAATTAAAGAAGAGTTCTGCCTAAGAAATCCATAGCTCTGGATTCTCGCCACAAAACGTTGAAATTCCACCGTTCCAGATTTACTCGTAGGAAGGTTTCCAACCAACTTGCGTAACATTGAACAAATTTCAGCGAGATCATTCGATCAAGTATCCTTCACAACCTTGATTGAATCTTCTATTGTTCGATATATTTGGTCCTCCATTGAAGACCTCTAGATGAAAGCACCAATGAAACAAACCTGATTTGCAATACAAACACTGATATATATATTTATCGATGTATACAAATTACAACATAAAATACACACCACAAAATAATAACATACTAATTACATATATATTAACATAGAAGAAAGTAACTAGAAGGGGATGAGATACTAGACCAGAGAAAGGGATGAGAGATAACTGACTGCCAAAGCTTCGACATAATTTGCATAACCGTTCTTTCTAATCGCTAGACATTTAAACAATAGCTAATTGGGCCTGGATCCCAAATAATGATAGTAACCCAACCTATGTGATTGGAAATCTCATGAAGGAGCTTCATATGGGTAATAACAAGTCAATATTGACATTGCGCACTAACTGAGAGTGCTTGAACTACTATTAATTATGAGGGAAGAGTTATTAACTCTTAATGAATTGATAGTCCTTAATTAAGACTGGTGTATTGAAAACAATATACACTTCATGAATTCACCTACATGAGAAGTTAAGTGTGATCGCTCTTATGAGACTTTGATATAATCTCCAGAGCTTTCATAAATAATCAGGTATGTGCATGGCCTTCTAGCGCAAAATTGCGTCGAATAATAAAATTTTTGAGGTCAAAATATGATTGATAAATCCCTATCTTATAACGAATTATTGGTTCATAAAAATATTATAAAAATAGTTAGTTCAAGGGACCAACTATTAGATTTTATCCATGTAAAAATCCAGCAAGTTAATTTTTTTGTGTAAATTCATTTGAAAAATATGTGGGAGATGGTAAGTAAAATGATTTGGTTCAAAAGAATTATTTTTGAAGTGTGTTTAAGAAGTCTTCAAAATGTGTTATTAAGAAACTTTGATGACAAGTGAAAAAATATGTGTCAACTGCACAAGTGTTTAATGACACTTGCGCTAACATTTGTTATGTTTTACCCTTTGCCTTGTACTACATTTTTTTTTGTGCTTCAGCGATATACACAACAAAAGAAATGAAAAGCTAAAAGTAGCACTTTCCTTATCTCTTTTCTTTGTTGTTTATTTTTATGATTATCCTTTAATAACTTATTGATGTTAATTAATTTTCTGATTCTTGTATCCTCTATTCAATTAGAAAAGACTTGTTTAATCATGGAGAAATATTTCACACTGTTGAAATAATTTCTTAAGACAGTACCCAACACAACTCAAATATTAATTTTGTACTACTTAAAAATATTATAGTAATAATACTCATCTTATTAATACTACAATTGCGGAATAAATAGTTTTATTATTGTTGTGATATTAACAAATTAATTAGCATCAACAAATTATTTAGGAGAAATCATAAAATAAACAAGAAAGAACAGAGAGAAAGAATGAGTAGAAGTAGATAAAGGATGTACATTTGCTACTTTTAACTTCTCTTTTTTTTTTTGGTTGTATTTATTGCTGAAGCACAGAAGGAAAGAGTATATATAGTAGAAGACAAAGGGTGAAACCATGACAAGTATTAGTACAAGTGTCATTAAACACTTGTGCACTTGACACATATTTTTCCTCTTATCATCAAAGCTCCTTAATAACACATTTTGAAAATTTCTTAAATACCCTTTAAAAATAAATTATTTTGAAATAAATCATTTTACATACAATCCCCACTTCCAAAAGAATTTATACATAAGAACATAACTTACTGGATTTGCATGGACAAAAATGTAATAGGTGTGGTATCTTTTGGATTATGAACCAAATTTAGATTGATAAAATTTAGTTAATAAAATTACTAATGAAATATAATATTTCGATGAATATTACTATGATAATATTTTAAGTAATACATTAATACTTGAGTCGTGAAAAAATTATTTCAATAATGTAAAATATTTTTTTAAGATTAAACAAATCTTCTCTAATTAAATAGGTGATACATGAATTAACAAATTAATTAACATTAATAAGCTATTAAAGAAAAAATAAAATAACAAAGCCAAAATGATGAATTAACTAAAAGAGAAAGACAGAATGAGAGGGGAGTAAGTTAGAGACCAAGAAAGAAAAATGTTAAAAGAGTTTTTTGATACAATTTTACAAAGGAAAAGAGCCAATGTATAGGCCAATGAGAAGCTCATCATAAGACAAGTGTCTATGACACTTGACATTAACTTGCCACATGGAGTAAAGCTTTCAAGAAAGAGCCAGCACATCCTTTCATTTATCACTTCTCCAAGAAAAGATTTAAGGGTCGTTTGATACAAACATTGATAGTGTATAGAGTAGTAATGTGGAGATTAGTAGTGCAAATATTAATTAAAATTTGTAGACTATTTTAATTAATACCGCGAACCAAAGCTCATCATAAGACAAGTGTCTATGACACTTGACATTAACATGCCACATGGAGTAAAGCTTTCAAGAAAGAGCCAGCACAGCCTTTAATTTATCACTTCTCCAAGAAAAGATTTAAGGGTCGTTTGGTACAAACATTGATAGTGTATATAGTAGTAATGTGGAGATTAGTAATGCAAATATTAATTAAAATTTGTAGACTATTTTAATTAATATCGCGAACCAAATAGTTCTTACCCTTTTTAATACATCTTTGAAGACTTTAAAAACACTTTTAAAAATTATTCTTTTGAAATAGATAATTTACTTACGACCCCATATATTTCAAAAGAATTTATACATAAAGGATTGAACTTGTGGATTTGCATAGATTAAATTCAATAAGTATAGTGTCTTTGGACTATAAATCGAATTTAGATCGATAAAACTTAATTTATAGAATTATTGATAAAATAAAATATTTCTGTGGATCAATAATTCTTTTTGCAAATCAGAGACTTATCAATCATATTTTGACCTCAATAATTTCACAGTTCAACACGATTTTGTGTCAATAGATCATGCATGCTGATATTAATAACAGTTCCGGCAACTAGGCCAAAGTCTCATATGAGAGACCTCAAGTATCAGAAACATGCAATACATTAGTCAATATTAAAGTTTTACCAGATGTGAGTTCAAGAAGAATTTTTTCTTCTCCAAGAATTTTAGAGATTCGTAAATTACCAAAATAAATAATTTCTTATTTTTCATCAACTTGGATATATAACACAAAATCAATTTTCTTTAATTATACAAATGTACTTTGTAGCACCATAGTACATCCCACTTTCTCGCATTGGTCTCAATATTTATTTCTGAAATGACCGCAATAATTAATTATATTATCCATTTCAATCAATTTCATTTTTAACTTAGCAGAGTTGTCATTTCATTTCAATATTCTTTTACATTGAAGTATATTTCTCATGAAGATTTTATTATTAACATTGAACTTGTTTCTTCATTATTAACATTGAACTTGTAACCATATCTATTTACATATCTGTATTTTACTTTACCATAAGACAGAATAACTAGAACAGTAGCAGCCAGGGTATCATCAATAATTTCAAAACACATTATTTATCATAATTTCTTAAATTGTTGGGAACAATAAACCTATGACCCCTCAAGTTCATATACTAAGAGCCATACATAATATGAAGTAATTCAACTAAAAGTTTTAACATAGAAACTAAGAAGGTATACAACACACAACAAACACCACTCAGTTCAAAACAAACATAATCAATTTACACAACTCATTACACTTTAAGCTCAAACCAAAACACCTGACAAAACAAACACAAGACAAACCAACATATAAAACAAACTTTTGATAAAGTATATAGAAGCATTTATAACTAACTAATTAAGTACCATGTGTAGTACTAGTAGGAGTCTGTTGTGATGGTGCTGCTGTTGCTGGTCCTTTGTTAAGCCATGAACTAGCAACACCTTTAAGCCTATTTATCATACTCTTTCCTGCACCTTCAACATGCGTTGTTGCCGCAGCAACAGTCGCCGCCCTCTGTTCATCGGTAGAGCCTTTTTGTGTCGCCACCCCCTCCGGTTTTTCCATTTTTTCCGTTAGTTTTTCCTTCACTTTTTCTGTTGGCTTTGCCTGTTCAGTACCCTTGGTTTTATCCTTCCGTCCCGCAAGTTTGCCTGAAATTAGAGATGACAAAACTAATCCATAAAAATACGACCAACAACTCATTTAGGGTTAGGGGGGATCCATTTAATGCCTAAGCAACTTTTTGCCAAGTCCATAACCTCTTTCATTCGTTAACTCGAACTCATTTTAACATGTCAAATTTAACTCAATTTATCCATTTTAACCCGCACAAATTTAACTCATCCATTTTTTATGCATACCTGAAATGACCTCAGAAAGTGCCTTATCTTCATCTCGCGGCTTGAATTTCTCTGCCAAGTAGTTCTTCATTGACGCTCCTTTCTCTGGCTTTGTTTCTTCTTTTACGCTCATTTTCTCGAATGACTCTACAAGCGGAGTAGTTCCCACCTCCTCGCTATCTGCTATAAATACGCATTAATATTAATTTCATTCAATAAGTTACATACATCCTCAGTATAAGAGTAAAAAAAAATTACATGTCCGATTTGTAACCTTAAAAAAAATGATCACTCCATCTGTTTAAAAAAGAATGATATAATTTCTTTTTTACTAGTATGTTTCAAAAAGAATGACCGCTTTCTTTTTTTTGGAAAGACTTTAGCTTCAACTTTTAGCTTCAACTTTCCACGTGACATGTTTAAAGCCACAAGCTCAAAAGGATATTTTAGTACATTTGATATAACTTTAATTTAAAATCTCAAAATTAAAAAATCTTTTTTTTTCTTAAACTCCGTTCCAAGTCAAACTAGACAATTCTTTTTTAAAGAGAGGGAGTATCTTATAATAAAGTGGATCAATTACCTGATATATACGTACATGTCGTGATAATTACTTTACAATGCTAAACTCGATCAATTCATGTCTAAACTATCGGTACAAAATATTTATGATACGTCAGATAGAACTCGGATGTTTATTTTATAAAAGTTTAAGTACTTCTTGTGTACGCCCAAAAAAAAATTTGAAGGACAGTCCAGTAGCAAAATCAAATTCAATCCGCCTAATCTATTTAAATTTATGCGGGGTATTGATGCACTCATTAATAAATTTATGTGTCTACTTATATAGTAGAAAAATTAACCCGAATTGAAGATGAAATAAAGAGCATATTTATGTGTTACGCCTAAATATCAAAATTGAGTAAGGGAGAAACAAGACTTACTAGCGCCTGTTGGATCAGTAACTTTAGTCTGATAATTAGAAGCAGACTTATCCTGTTTGGGTGCATTTGGATCATCCTCTAATGCTGTTTTCAATCCAACTTTATTCCCCTCCACCACTAATTCATCTTCATATTTTTCATTAGCACGGTACTGTTGAGCCTCCATAAAATCCAAAAACTTTTCAATTTGGTTAATTATTACTAGCAAAACAAAAACTTTTCAATTTTTACTATATACATAAAAAAAAAATGAGAGGTATGGTTTATATTGATGCCATTTGGCGTTCTATAAGAAGTGGCACTTTGTGAGCTAAACACGTTATAACTTTAGGGGACTCTATATTGTAGACGTGGCCTTTTTATAAATATCGAAAATTTGGAAAATGGATTTTGGCCTTCTTATTATCTTATATGACCATGAAATAATTATGTTAAGTTAAAAATAAATTTTTTGTTGCCCAATATAAATAATTTTTTTTAAAATTTTTTTATGTTAAGTTAAACTGCAGTAAATTGAGTCGGAGGAGTTTTATTTCCTAGACAAAAGGAAAAGTAAAAAATACTTATTAAGTGTGCAAGGCAATGATATTTAAAATAAATAAATAAAAGCAGAACAAAATTTTAAATATTTTTAATAATAATAATAATAATAAAATTCTACTATTTATTTATATAATTGAAAATAATAAAGACTGATAATTTAATAAGTATATTTTAATGGAGGTAATAATTGTCCAAAGATTATCTATTTGTATTGTAAATAAATTCTAGATTCTAATTTAAAAATCAAATAATGTCAATTAAAACTTGTTATTTAGGTAGACAATTGAGAGTAAGAGATAATTAGAACTTAAATATAAATACATATTTAATGCATACAGTATTAAAATTATAATCATAAAAATAGAACCGATTTTTTTAATAAACTCATAAAAGGATTATTCACTAATAAAGTTAATGAACTTATGTAAGAAATCAGTGCCCCAAGGTCGAACTGAGCTGACTATCAAGGTGCTTTAGGATATGCTTCGGACATGTGTCATGGACTTTTGTGGTCATTGGGATCAATCCCTACCTCTTGCAGAGTTTTCTTATAACAACAATTATCATTCCAACATTCACATGACACCGTTTGAAGCTTTGTATGGAAGGAGGTATAGATCTTCCGTTGGTTGGTTTGATTCATTTGGAGTTCGACCTTGGGGCACTGATTTGTTGATCGAGAGACTCCATGAATAGAGTGAAGTTGATTCAGCAGCGCATTGTGGCCGAACAAAGTTTGGTAGAAGAGCTATGTAGATAGGTGTGTCCGAGATGTGTCCTTTGCTATTGGGGAGAGGGTTTTGCTTAAGGTGTCCCCCACCAAAGGTGTGATGAGGTTTGGAAAGAAAGGAATAAAGCTTATTCTGCGGTTCATTGGACATTTTGAGATTTTGGGGAAGTTTGGAGAAGTAACCTATAGGTTAACCTTACCTCTGAGCCTTTCAGCGATTCACCCCGTATTCCATGTTTCGATGCTTAAGTGATATCGTCATGATGATTCTCATGTGATTCAGTGGGATTATGTTGCTTTGGATCAAAATCTTTCCTTTGAGGATGAGTCGATTGCTATCCTGGATAGGCAGACTAGACAGTTCATATCCAAGCATATTGACTGCAGTGGATACACCGACCTGTTGAGAAGGCGACGGGGAAGGTGGAGTCTAACATGTGTCATAGATACCCTCAGCTTTACATCCCTTCAGGTATCTTATTTTGCTTTTTGTTCGGAGAAGAACTCATGTTAAAGTGGTGGATAATGTGATGTCTCATTTCTTGTGATTTTACTTTTAATTGTAAAATGACCATTTTGCTCTTCTTCATAGCATTTTCATGCTTAGTTTGTGTTTTAGAAATAGTTGGTGTGGTCCTCGATGAGATTGTGTGTGTTTTAGTGATTTGACCCCTTCAGAATTCTTGATAGGATTGACTTCAGTCAACATTTTGAGTTTCGGACGTCGAATGGAAATTCCGTCAGTTTCATCGCGTCCGAAACGTTGAGTTTGAGCTAGTAGAGTGGTTGGTAAGGTTTTTGAGGCCTTAGGTTAAGAGTTGGTTGTTTAGGCAAGAAGTTTATCTTCAGGCCTAAAGAGAGGTTCAAGAGGGTATTTCTGTCAAAACTATGTTTTTTCAGAAATTTGATGATTTTATTGAGTCAAGAATGTCAAATTTCGTGGAGTAACATATTTAGTTTATTTTTATTGAATCCCGAATGAATCTCGAGGGTCCGTTCGGAGAGTTTAATAAATTAGAGAATTAATTTTGTTGATGTCAATGAACGGTCAATGCATGGTCAAACAATCAATTATTATGGCTACCTCTTTCTTCCATTTCACTTTCTTCTCCATTGTTTTCATATTGGGAACTTGTGAGTGAGACTTAATAAGCATTTTCTTGAGAAAAACTTGTGTGGTAAGTCCCTCTATCAATTTTATATCGTTTTCTTCGAATTTCATCTTCCAAAACACTTAAAAATCAAGATTTCAAATGTGGATTTTGGGGCACTTTTCCCCAAATTGAATAAATGAGTAATTAGTTGATATGTAGCTCGATTCTTACTGGTTTTAATGGGGTTTTCAACTACGAACTCCTCTTGATTTGTAGAACTTGATTTTCAACTAAAAATCTGATTTACCCTTTTGATTTCGAAGTAATTTTTGGACTATTTTATCCCTGATTTCAAATCCTATCAATATGGATATTATTGGACTCCTTTTGATGAAATTTTTCCATTCTTAATAGTTGAGGATCGTTCCGATTAGAGTGTGGTTGAGGATTCACTTCGATAAAGTTGTTCAGATGAAGTTTCAGCCTTGAGGTAGGTTTGGCTATCCCTTTTTTAGACTGAGATGAGTAATTATCATGTTCTTAGGAAATCAACTGGGAAATGAGTTGTAGTATGTATTTTAGAGGCTAGTAAGTGTTGATCTTCTTATTTAATCCCTATGATGCCTATGTTACTTAGCATGTGGCCAGGCTTGTGTGATATCTATAATTGTTGTGGAAATTTTGTGATATTTGAGTGATTGCACGAGAGAGGGATTGTGTGACTTTTCTTTATATTTGACGTGGAGATACCCGAGTAGGAGTTTGAGTTGATTTTTGAACCACATTAAAAATGAACAAAATGCTTTCTAACTAGTAAAATGTTGGTTGTAAATGGTTTCCTCCACTTACCTCTATCCTTTGAGAACATGCTTCATGACCCGTTGAGTTTGTAAACTTGACTCTATTTGAAATCCTTGATGAATTGATTATATCCTTGTGTTATATGTGTTGTGAAACATTCATTCTCATGCAGCATATCATGGTTTATGAAAATATGAGAAAGTGGAGAAATACTATCTTTTTGAGAAAGAAAATGCCACACATTACTTATATTCTTGACAACGCTGAGGTGACAAGTTGATGAGACATTGAGATTGATATATGGATTGTGAGTCCCCCATGGGTCCTTGTCTAGAAGTTAAAGGCGGCAATGTCTATATGGCAAGTTGTGCGACGACCTTGGTACCACCACATCATTTCATTATTCCATCCTCTCATTGCATCACATTGGTCAGTTTTGTTGTGTTGTGTGACTCATTTATGTGATGATTTAATTATTATATGTACTTTTATGTGTTTACTTTATTTGCATTGTTCTATATAAATTGGTGGCACCGATGTCAGAATGAGACTTTTCTGCATGTAGGTAGAAGTGTTCATAGTTTATTTCTTAAGTTTGTTTAGTTGCTTATACTCAATTGGCCCAATCTATTGAGTACATGTGGATTATACTCACCCCCTGTTGACGCCCAGTTTTAACCGACCTAAACCATTTCTGAATTGCTATTTGATTAAACAATTATTGCAAAAACTTTATTTTCCCTTATTTTACTGGTTCAAAATTATAAGTAATTTTATGTAAATAACTATATATTTTAATATTCATAATTTACAAAAAAATATTGTAATTATTATTCTTATCAAATTATTATTGTTATGGTTATATTTATCGGTTGTCAAATTTGAAATAAATATTTTATTTATCGATTTAACGGTTAAATTATTTAAGTATGCTTATTTTATATAAAAAATATTTAATATGTGTAGTCTTTTATTAATTAAGTATCAATCTATTTAATCCTCCCTTCAATTATTCAAATAGTAGTCTTTTCGATCCAAATTATTTAATTTATAGCTTATTCTATCCAATTTCATTTCAATTTTAGCCTCATATTTTAATTTAGTTGTAATTTTAGCCATTTGCTCATTGCAATTATAGCCAATATGACCCAAGTCAAAAAGACCAATCTTTCAATCCTATCTGTTCGTTGTTTTAAATCAATGGATGAGATCAAAAGTTCTGTTCTTTCCGATTTTAATCTTAAAGACATCCATCCTAACCAAATCATTCAGTATTTGAGAGACCGCGGCCACATCCCCTGCTGCCTCTCTCTTCTTCTCCCCTCCACTTTGTCCTCTCTCATCTCCTCTTCCTGGCGAGGAAAATGTCGCTCCACTACTAAAAAAACAGTGAATACCAACCTACAAATACCGACCTCCGGAGGTCGGTATTCCTTGAAATACCGACCTAAAACCGACATCCCAACTTAGGTCGGAAAAAGCCTGGTCGCTATTCAATACCGACCTCTGGAGGTCGGTATTTACTGACCTCTCGAGGTCGGTTTTTATTTTATGTCGGAAAATTCATATATTATTATTTCCGACTTCCTGAGGTCAGAATTAGAATACCGACATCCGGAGGTCGGTATTTTTATTTTTGTAATGTTGAAATTCTGACCTCCGGAGGTTGGTATTTTTATTTTTGTATTTTTAAAATTCCGACCTCCGGAGGTCGGTAATTTTATTTTGTAATGTTGAAATTCCGACCTCCGAAGGTCGGTATTTTTATTTTTTATAATGTTGATATTCTGACCTCCGAAGGTCGGTATTTTTATTTCTGTATTTGTAAAATTCCGACCTCTGGAGGTCGGTATTTTTATTTTTGTAATGTTGAAATTCCGACCTCCGGAGGTCGGTATTTTTATTTTTTTAATTTTGAAATTCCGACTTCCGGAGGTCGGTATTGTTATTTTTGTAATGTTGAAATTCCGACCTCCGGAGGTCGATATTTTTATTTTT